ACAATGTTTCTGTAATTAAAAACTGCATTCTACCCTGGCTTGATTAAGTTTGGGGAGGTATTTGTCATACTTATATATTTTTCTACTTAAAAGCACATGCATTGAACTTTTTTGATTATAGCATCAATATGTTTTGTTACATTTTGGAATGAACACAAACACAACAGGCATATTAAAGAACTGCATTTAATCATTAGGTTTGATTTACTTTACATAGATTCAAAGTATTTCTTTTTATGTTCTGTTAATACATAAATGTTGTCTTCCTGTGAATCTCATAAGTATAGCATTCATATAAGGATTTAAAGAAATAAAGTAACAGCTTATCTTATATAAGCATATTGAATTGAGTCTATATAGAAAGTTGCAAGAGTGACAATAGCCAAATTCTGTGTGTATCCTCTGAGTACTAACTATAAGTATTATAATACTTGAATGATAATTTTTAAAGATTTTTAGTTCTGTATTACAGCTTGTTCATGATTGTAATATCAGTAACAGTTCATAAAATTATATGATAAAAAGTAATTTCACAAAATTTTTGCATTCACAAAAGGTAACAAAGATGAAGAAAGAGGAAGAGATAAAATATATCATGAAAAAGATGTAACATTGAAATATTTGATGGACTGAAAGACATGTAACCTAAGAATCCTCCAATGGGTTATTTATTATTGAAATCTTGGTCTGGAAAGAATGAAAGGCATAAGGTATACCAGTATATTGTATTTTATCTTGACTTGAATATTTTGTTGACAGTTTCTCTTATATTTATATAAATGACTACCTGCTTTTAAAATTTAGCACTATTCTTTAACACTGAAATTATTGTCCTTTTCAATTTAATTTCCGAAATTCATAGGAGGCGGAGTTACTCTCTATAAATGTGTGTTAGTGTCACCAGATATGTAATTAATGTCTAATATTTTCATTTACTTCAAGGTCAGTTTTTAATCGCCAAATGTAGCATTGGTAAAAAAGAAGTACAAATGACAACAATAACTGCTAACACAGTATTTAATTTTATGTAATTCTGTATGCTTGAAGTATATCTGCAACTTGTAATAGGATGCTGAAGTATATATAAACCTTCAAGTTAATATACAATAAAATTTCTATTTTTATACACACTTCATATGAAGGTAGTTTTGAAGTGTTTCGAGGTCTGTAAAATGAAGCATTATAAAGATTTTGATTAAGGATAAAAGACGATACCTTCTCTAGGTCTTCTAGGGGTTTAAGGAAGGAATATAGTTGAGCTTTATCATTCGGGCTACACAGTAAAGCCTTGCACTTGGTAAGACTCACTCACTCACTCATCTCTCTTCTCTCTCTCTCTCTCTCTCTCTCTCTCTCTCTCTCTCTCTCTCTCTCTCTCTCTCTCTCTCTCTCTCTCTCTCTCTCTCTCTCTCTCTCTCTCTCTCTTCTCTCTCTCTCTCTCTCTCTCTCTCTCTCTCTTTCTCTCTCTCTCTCTCTCTCTCTCTCTCTCTCTCTTTCTCTCTCTTTCTCTCTCTTCTCTCTCTCTCTCTCTCTCTCTCTCTCTCTCTCTCTCTCTCTCTCTCTCTCTCTCTCTCTCTCTCTCTCTCTCTCTCTCTCTCTCTCTCTCTCTCTCTCTCTCTCTCTCTCTCTCTCTCCCCCCCCCTCTCTCCCTCTCTCTCCCTCTTTCTGTTTTTTTAACCTTGTACTCAAGTCTGTATAAGTAGTTCCTTGTAGTGTATAGACTTTGCTTTGTACATTGGTTATCTTTTGATCTCAGAAAGTTGCATAATAGATTTAAGAAATTCACATATAGGTGCCACACATAGCATTATTGTGTTGTATAATGATCTACTTCTGATAACTTCTGCGTATCAGAGTGTTATAACAGTTAGTGGTTGTCAGGTAGCAAAATGAGGATGATGTAAGCTTTCCGTCTCAGGCAATTCTGAATGTTTGAAGGTTTAGGAAGCATTTGAAAAGCATTCAGCAGTTGTGATAAAATCTAGTCGTATTGCCTGAAACTCATGCAGAATGCTTTAAGCTGGAAACTTTGTTGAAAAATATATGCGCAAGTATTGTTGAACCAGTTTACGTAAAGACAAAGGTTTTCTGTCAATAATTTCATACGTAATTTTATTCTAGTCTATTTTATATTTATACTTTATATTTAGCCATATTAGATGCTGAAATGACTAATTATAAAATGCAATTATTTTTTACGTATACAATTTGATCAATTTGTGACCATTTGGATGTAGAAGTAATTATAGCGCAATTAGTATCATTATAGCTTCATGAATCAAGTACTGTATTGCTAGGAAAGTAGGATATGAAAATGAAATGTGATTTTGAAGCTACTTCTTTTAAATGATATTTTCTTTATGAATAATGAACAGTATTATGAGCTTATATTAGATAAGGTAGATTATAGCATGTAGAATGTAAGGAAGATTTAAGTATATACAGTTTACATATGTATTTGTATCAGTATGATCTTGTCTATATACCTATAGACACATAA